ATGAATTTAACATGATTGGCTAAGAAGAAGGGACTGTATCTTTGTAACTTGATATGATTAGTTGTGATTGGTCAATATTCGGATACAATCCCTGGTACATACCGAGGCAATCAAATTGCTTATTCTGATTGGTTGACAACCAGAGATAGTCCTGAGATAGTCCTGGGACAGTCTCTTAAAAAGAATTTTCCATTTTGAAATGGCATTTTCCAGTTTGAAATGGCACAATGTTTCATATATATCAAAGTAGCCTTAGAAATTATGGAATACCAATGCTGATATTTTTTTGAGAAAGTACTCATTCTGGGCAACTCAAAATATATATCAGTCATGATATCCCATAATATTTAAGGTCAGTTTGATATATATGAAATATGGCAGAGGGGGTCAGAATTATTGCAAACAGCTGTATAGTATTATTATAATATAATCATCTTTACCTAACAAGTTAATGGCTTAAAATGTTTTGTTATATATATCAAGATAATCACTTATTTAGCCATTATATATAGTCCCGTAGCAAATGGCCGTGTGTACGTGCTTGGATAGAATGGACCAAGTCACACCGATTACTTCTGATTCATACACGTTGGTTAATTCCGAAGAATAGATTCTTTTAAAAGTAACGGTGAAGATCTTGGTTATTGTTGTCTCTATTCTCTGATGAACATATGAAGAAAAGCTGCGGGACTCGAACTTATTACACTCTAAATCTCCTTTTGCTGGCCGCACTGGTCTTTTTTAGGGGAAAAATAGTTTAGTTTACTTAGTTTATTTGATGTTCAGCAGGGAAATGTGGGGTTGATGAATTGAATTGAATAACTCGTTATAAATTCAGCGGGCTATATGAGTGATTCCTGTCACTCATATATAGCCCGCTGAATTTATAACGAGCTATTCAATTCAATTCATCAACCCCACATTTCCCTGCTGAATATCAAATCCCTCCCCGGCTTTAAGTTTCTATGGTATATACAACCCTATGAATAACAAAGAAAACCTAGTGAATTGGAAACTAAGAAGACATACAATCATGATAAACTGTGCGACTCTTTTTGTTAGAGAAAATAATTCTTTTCTTTCAAGTGAGCACACATGTGAGACGTGATGGTGTCAGCACAGTGTGCATGTCCTCTTATTGAAACACTCTAGTCAGCTAATCAGGCAAGAATTTACACAGGTGTGGTAAAAAAAGAACTTCTAGAACTCCTTCTAATGAGGATGTGAATTGTGCTACAATTTAAGACAAAACCAAAAGAGACCAAAAAACAATGCATTTCATTCTGGTAATACAGGCTCTAAAGGGAACTGGACATCAATTCTTTATCTTTACTCTTTATGATTGAATTCAAGTAATGAATGGTAGCTATCAGATCTAGGTACCACTCATAAATGGGTCTGTATTAAAATGGACTTACATAAAGAAAGCAATATAAACTTGTGGAAAAAGAAAAACCAGAGAGAAAAGAACAACCACAATTCTCCTGTAAAAACAAAAACAGTAATAATAATAATTGATCTTACACATAGTGCTGTCATACAATCTTATCACGCTTGAGAACCATGTCATAGTCAAAATATGGCCATTGTTAAAAATGATTTGGTGCAGGGCTCACTAAAAATATTAAAATAAGCACCTTAATACGGACCAGTGTCGACTATGTCGTTAGGCCTTTTCACCCAATTTAAACTTAATTTCCTGATATTGCATTGCATCCCACCAGTTAAGGGAGTACCATCCCCCCTACCCCTACTCTCTGTATCATGTGATTCCATCAGTCGTATCTTTTGCTTCTTTTGCACAAAAATTCAAACAGAGACTTAACTAGAACCAACATGAATTAAAATATTCGCTTTTTCGTACGTAAGTTCTGTAACTTTGTCATGGTCATCGTGTAGGGATATGGCTTACAATGAGTGATTGCGAGCAAAAGCCACGRCATAGTTTGAGAAGTTAATGATGATAATGACTTACACAGCTTTTCGATTGGCCTTTGGAAACCATCTAACGAAGTGATAGGCACAATGAGCGATAAAGTAGAACCACATCGTCGCGAAGGTAGCTGAACTCTAACTTYCCTTAGCAACGAGCTTACTGTCCGTCAAAACTAATGCTTTGGAGAGTCTTTGGTTTTATGTGACTTGAAGTGTTG